GTAAGTGGGGGGTGAGTGTTTGGGAGAGTTGTGGAGTACGTGAATCGGGTTTAACGCCGCTTTTAGAGAAATGGGCTTCTACTGTTTCATTATATCCATGGTGTACTAGAAATACGTACCTACCTAACAATAGGAATAATCTTATTAATCTGATTAAAATGGCGATAAAGTTGTTATTGTGAGCTTTAGCTACAGAATTATATAATTTAGTTTGACGGGGGCATTGATGATAAAGGTGTTTATGAGTGAAGTTCAGTATGAAGAAGAATAGCTGCTAGTACTTACGTGGTACGTGTGATTTGATAAGGGTTGATGATAGACATAGCCGAAGATAACGCCTAAATGTGTCTGCCTAACTCTATCTGACAGCACACTTAGAGATACTGGTCCTGCATTCATCTTCCCGAGGCAAGGGAGTTAACTGACCATAAAAGTCCAGTTTCCACCCTTGCCGAACTAGGCTGGAATTCCGGAGTTACATTTTGGCTGGACTAACGAGTCGATGCATAGTCCAATCAAAATCGCGTAACGAAATCGACGTCCGGTTCGTAAACAACATTTCAACGTGCAGATTTCGGACGACTGAAGGATTTGCAAAACATGTGTACTGTTAACTGGGCGTCTACAGATATTTTGCAAATCTTTTCATGTTTTTAATCAAGGTGCTCAAGTGATTTGATGTACTTCGCGGGGTAAGACCCGTTTTATTACAATAAGATCTTGATTATCGATCAGATCGGATTTACTTGGGCGCCGCCATTTTGTTTGAAGCAAAAGCAAGTGATATGAGAGATGGAATCTGATTGGTCAATAGTAGGGGCATAGAAGGGTCATAACTCGTAATAGCCACTGGTGGCGCTACGATCGAGTCTGGAAATTCTAGCCTAGTTCGGCAAGAGAGGAAACAGGACTTTTATGGTCAGTTTACTCCTTGCCTCAGGAAGATGTCCAGGATTATGTCTGATGCACGTTGTCAATTTGACCCTTGCCATGTTTACGATATTGGAACATGGTCCGTTAGTTTACAATATTCATCTTTCAATTTCTCACTGTATCCAATCCTTAATATGCCTCATATAACGTGATGAAGTACGAAAAACTTAGTCCCCATAGTTAGCTATGCAATCACGTTTAGCGAGTTGTCGCGCATTAAACCATTGAACTAGCCGTGTCCCTTATGATTATCACAGTTTCAAGGACGAGCTATGACACATGGCACACCTGTACACATGACATATTTTATTACACTTAAAACCAACTCTGTTGCCAGGCAAGTGCGACAGATGGTGAGGTGGTTTAGTCGTTAAGTGATCGCTCGCCTGGTTCGATTCACCTTAGTGTTGCATACAGTTTGAGAAACTCACTCAAAATGTCCGGTGTGGTATTGGTGGATTACTGTCAAGTGCGTGATTACTGTCAAGGCGTGATTAAGCGACCTCGGTTTAACGTCGCTTGAACAGTATTTCAATTATATCACGGCGTGAATCGTAATCAGGGTGTACCAAGATTCAAAACCAGGAAACTCTGAACAGCGCAATGCGGCGCCTTGGACGACAGGGCCACCCGTGTCTCTTCCCCAACCCCATCCCGCGCATCTTCACTGCCACCACGACCACGCCACCACCACCGCCGTCGCCACCACATCACCACCAATACCACCACTACAACCACACAACCACCACCACATAGTTAAAGCAAGAACTGGATACATACAGTTACTGTATATAAGGTTATGTTCTGAGACCCAAGTTGATGTTGTTCTTTGACAGCTGCGGTGGCAACTTCCTGCTGAATGCTGGCCCCACCCCTGACGGTATGATCGGTCCGATATTTGAGGAGAGGTTGCGGCAGATGGGACAATGGCTGAAAGTTAATGGCGACGCCATCTATGAGACTCGACCCTGGACTACCCAGAATGATACAGCGACACCTGGTGTCTGGTACGTACATTACATACATGTATATACATATAAGAATCTAATATTTTACCAAATATTAATTAAACCCTCTGTAATTACACAATGAAATGATCTAAAATGAGAAAGAATCCCATTCAAACCATCCCCGAACCCCATGCGCATCAGAATTACGTAACCAGTTATGTAATTAGTCTATGCGTAGGAATATTTTCCCGCGCTTGCACTTCTTGTACCTGTAACATCATGAAGTCGTCCAAGTAAACAGAGTCGCAATAAAATGTGTTTGTCTGCTGTTACCTGAAGTCCTGATTGAACAGTATATGTAGCATGGTTCTACAACAGTGGTTTGACGATTGATTGAAAAATAATCCGTCATTATTATCAAGCAATCAGTCAAACACAACTGTCCATATATTCAAATGAAAACATCTTTTTCATCACTAAATGAAGGTTGCAAGAAAATTAATGTTGCAAGGATGTTAGTGTGGATGTTACGTTACAATGTTTCTTTGATGGATCTGTTAACATAGAATAAATGTTGTCTGAACGTTTGCTATATAAAAGTGAAACGCTTTTAAGTAGATCAATCTTTTTCTTTCTTACAAAAAAGAGGTATTACGACTATGGGTGAAATGGTCTAGCTAATGGTGATACAATGGTTAGCGTTGTAAACTCTGTTTTGGTATGCTTTCTTCTCACATAGGTACACGTCCAAGAAGTCATCAACCGGTATTTCCGTGTACGCCATCACTCTCAGCTGGCCCGTGGGAGATAAGCTGGAGCTGGCTGTCCCCCAGTCGGGTCCCACCACCACAGTGACGTTGCTAGGATACCCAGGACACATTGGATTCAAAGCTGGCGCCACATCAGGAATGACAATCATGATTCCAGCAATTCCAGCCAATCGTATGCCTTGCCAGTGGGCCTGGGTTTTCAGACTTGATAATCTCAAAAACCAATAGAATACATTATATATGCATAATATGTATCATTTGGTGGATTCTCTTTGTCATTTTGTGGTTGGATATATGTTTTAACGAGTTTTGTTTCCGTCGTGTGTCCTGTTTTTGGTCATTTTCTAGTTTTGTACATGCATTATTGAATACTTGTCTAATTGTCCATCAGTCTTTTATGGGATCCATATCATTCAGTCGAGCTTCAGTAGGGAGGTGTGAAACTCAGGGCACCATATATTGGTAATGGCATTGCTTCAGAACCAAGGAAACATATCCTTAAAATGTGGACAACTTCGTGAATGTAACAGTTCCGAATTATATCACTTTCAAAATCAAGCGATCAAAACGTTCGTGAGATGTATAGAAATGTAATTTAATATGAACTATTCAATCAAATATTTCTGTAATGAGGTCTGGTCATGGAGATAACACAGATTATTTACATTCCTGGGTACTTCCGTAGACACCTCACAAAAAGGGTGAATACACATCAGTTTGGACTTTCCTGTCACGTAAACTTAATGTCACTATATCATAAGGAAGATCCGGGTTAGAATTAGTCTTCAGCAACCCATGCTTGCCGTAAAAAGCGACAATGCTTGTCGTAACAGGCGACTAACGGAATCGGGTTGACCAGGCTTGCTGACTTGGTTGATGCATGTCATCGTATCCCAATTGCGTGGATCGATGCTCATGATGTCAATCACTGGATTATCTGGTTTATTTACAGACCGCCGTCTATATATTATAGCTGGAATATTTCTGAGTGCGGCATTTAACAACAAACAACAAAACAACAAAAACACTATATCATCAATATACTTGTTGGAAAGCAGCGTAAACAAGCTCACCATATCATTCCTAATACTTATTTTGGGGAAGATGCATTTGTATGACATAATTCTTGCCAGTATGAAATAAACCCATGGATTAAAGAAACTCCCGGTGTCGAGTCATTTGCACATGTGAACTGTTGGCTGGGTGGCGGAGTTGGTAGATGGCGGACTTGTACTGAAATTGTTAACCTGTTCATTCATAAATGAACATACTTAATAGACTGACAAAACAAATGACCGTGCCCTACTACATTTGATAACCCTGATCTTTACTATCAATCTCTTCAGTCATGTTTATCTTGACCTTTATGATTATGTTCTAGAAAACAGGAAGAAACGGATTTTATTATGAAAGAAAGGCAATTGAAACTAGATTAGTCAGTTTAACAACTACCTTATAACTGATGGCTGGTTACCTATGCCGAATAGGTTTACCTGTTTAACAATGAAGGTGTTGAAACTCGTCATGTTCTTCTGAATTCGCGTGGACAACTACATGAATACGGAATACACTCCAGCGTGGTTTGTTTCATCAACCGACAGTTTGTATTCATTAGTGGAACCTCTGATTCACCCCCCTAAACATACAATTATACAATCGACCAGTACAAGCAATCTCTCTTACATATAGACTTGTTAAGAGTGTTGCAATAAATCGCATCAGTGACACGTGGCCTCTGATTTAACTCACTAAATATATTTTTGCCTTTTCACGGAGTAGAAGACTATCATGTACATTTAACTCATTCACACATCACACGCAAAAGCATTCATAGATTGTTTATGTGAAGCTGCCATGATAGCAGGACGCCGTAAGAAGCCGATGACTCCGTGAAAATGATATCTTTCTAAAAGACATTTGGGATTAAATCCTTTGCAAATTACCAAGCACACAGTTAGACAATCTTTTAAAACGTTTAGATCTTTTTGCAAACAGTTCACAATTAAGACGATCGGTGACAATGAATACATTTTAAATGGCAGTATCTGGCAGCGATAATAGAAGATTGGTTTCTTGTATCTTGTTTATAATTAATTGTTTTCATATTAAAAATGATTAAATATTTGATCCGGTAAACACCTAGCTCTAACAGATCAATTCAGTCGGTTTTAAAATTCATTTAACTGGACCCCCCCCCCCCCCCCCCCCCCCCCCCTCTCTCTCTCTCTCTCACACACATACACACAAGTGCACTATATAAGTGCAATGATCTTGGACTCAACGTCTACCCCATTTCACCTCACCTACATGTGACTAGTCACGTGATTGATCTGTTGATTACGCTCTGCTGACAGCGCGATTCATTGTGAACACACGGGACGACGCAACATGGCTAGACTGTTGTTGTGCACGCTGGTGACTGTGACACTAGCGGCAGGTGCCCGCTACGACCCCACATGGGAGTCACTGGACCAGAGGCCCCTCCCGGCCTGGTACGACGAGGCCAAGTTTGGCATCTTTCTTCACTGGGGGGTGTTCTCTGTTCCAAGCTTCACAGGTGCTTGGTTCCAGGAGTTTTGGCGAGAAAAAAGACCGGACATTATGGAGTTCATGAAGAATAACTACCGACCGGATTTTACCTATGCTGACTTTGCAGCACAATTTACAGCTGAATTCTACAACCCCGACGAATGGGCGGAGATATTCAACGCCTCGGGGGCAAGGTGAGATCACGAGCACTACTCGTACCTCTATACAAAACGTTAGCGAACCCCAAACACCCGACAGTGAATTATCGAATTTATCCTCCCACATCTAATATTAGTAACAGTGACTCGACCCGTGTCAGATTGTGGAATAAAGGCAGACTCAGCCAGTCGTGTCAAGCTTTGTGGGGTCTTTCCTTCCTTTCACGGCGTCATGGTCGCCGTAGCTTATTATCTTATTAACTATCCATGTTAAACTGCGGCATGGTATATCAGTGGGCTAACAGTATAAAACCGGCATAAGTCGGGATTAGTACAAGCAGCCACACACACATTTAAGTCGCTTTGAGAGTGAAATAATCTTGAACGCGACGTTAAGCCCCATTACATCTCACCAATTTCTTGAAACAACTTATGGTCGTAGTATTAACTGGCATTACTCTAATGACTTTAGCACTTTTTCTTTAGATTTGTTTTGATCGGATAGCACGGTTTTGTATCAACTTATATTGGGAAGATGTATTCTGTTATAGTTATGACATACAATCTCACGGTCGTCTATCAAAAACTTCGAGTTCGTAGTTTCACATGTATACTAGCATAAAAAGTGAGTGTGTTTCATATCAAGTTCAATAAAAATAAATGTATTCTGAAATGAAATAATGCATCTTTCAATACATATTCATTCAACTAGGGTGGACATTTCCTCGACTTTAAGGGGCGCTCGTCACGCCGAAGACCCGGGTTCGATTCCCGACATGGGTACAATGTGTGAAGCCCATTTCTGGGGTCCCCCGCCGTGATATTGCTGGAATATTGCTAAAAGCGGCGTAAAACCATACTCACTCACTCCTCGACTTTAAGGTTGTGATTCACAATTTGCACGTGTATATATCATGCACGACGCACAATTTGGATGTTTGTGTGTTTGTTGGGAACGTGATACTCCTACACGTTATTTTGGGAATTTGAACGGCTCACAAAAGCTCATAAAACACCCCCGTTTAACCGTACATTATGCTTACACAATACCACGGCTTGCTGAAAATCAACTTGTACGCGCGCCGGGGCTGCTGCAAACAGGAACGGCGCAAAACGAGGTTGTCAGGCATTTTAATGTTCATCGAAATAAAATTATACAATATCTTTGGAGACATAACGTAGAGCAGGGCAACACTCATGACGTACCACTGACAATTCCTGGGTTGAGACCACTAAATGACAGAACGGTCAGCAACGGGTTGAGGAAAGACCTTATCCGACCCCGACGTCCAGCGATATGTCCAGTTTTGCTTCCACGTCACCGTCACCGTTTAGCATGTGTCCAGGTTTCATCGCTACTTTTAATCCCACCAAACACAATAAGATTATTCTCACCGTGTTCGTTCTGACAAAACAAGGCAAAGTTGTTGAATAACTGCCCGAAGGACTGGGCACATCCAACATACGGCTGGCTATATCATTGTATGTGTTGTTGAGTAACAAACTGAATAAACCTCACCAAACCTTTGTAGTTTAACGACTGTATTTGCTGTCGACTTCCTGGACGCATTATTAATACATCATGTGATTGAAATTCACACAAGGAAACGCATCGTGAAAGGTCCTCGTGACACATAGATCCTGTTTTTAACATGTAGTATAACGTCGTATCATGGTTTTAAAGAGAATATTCCTGGATAAAAGCTCCCCCCAATGCTACAGCTTATTGTAGACGTGGTAGGTTGAAAATGGCAGATTTAACTTGATGTTCAGGTATATTTAAGAGTAAGAGAGGTACCGTTAAAAATAGATTTCTGTAGATGTCAACTTCCCGAGATTTTGATAATTTACTGTTTGATCAACCTGGTCACGTTGTTATTGTGTGGTTATTAATCATCGTAGTATGACGAACCGACCGATTTGTATTTCCTGCTTTCAACTTCCGCCATGTGCCTCGAACTGTTTCTATACAAAATTTATAATAAAAACTCTATCAGCTGACTATGGATTATTATGTATTCCTTCGCATTGACGTTAGTGCGAAACATTGTTTGGACAATGAGTTGCATGCAATATTAAATTAAGAAATTGATAAAATGCCAATTTGAATAAATGTTTTTGATTCACTTTTTTTTTTTTTTTTCTTTGACAATTTGAAATGAGTATAAATTGAGTGAACTATTTACTTCATCGTAGTAAAAGCGACAGGTCGTATGTGAGCAGGTCACGACGCGAGAAATATCATCGTCGTTCTCGTAGTTGAAAGATCTGACTAAATTTCAATTTAAAATATGTAAAAATGAGAGATGGATATGTATATAATATATATATAATCGTGAAGCCTCAAACCCCATATTGTTTCTCGATCTTCGATCTCGAAACAATATGGGGTTTGAGGCTTCACTCGACGAAATATAAATCATATTCGACAAAAAAAATGAAGTAGCCTCTATATATTTCAGATATGTGGTACTTACATCAAAGCACCATGAAGGTTTCTGCAACTGGCCAACCAAATACTCGTTTAACTGGAATGCCATGGACGTTGGCCCTCGCAGGGACTTAGTTGGTACGTGCAGAGTTACGTCCCATGGTTTGCAAGGATCCACTGATTTTGGGTTCGAATTCTGAAATTCGCTCCGATTATGATTCTTGGTTTGACAGCAGCAAAGAATGATTTGTTTGAATATTTATTCGCGTGTCACCCAATAATCAATAGCTATAAGTAACGAGACACATCCATGCATCACCCTGATCGCCATGTACCCTCTTCTGTGAATCATCTATTCCAGGTGACCTGGCAAACTCCATCAGGAAGAAGACTACCATCAAGTTTGGTCTTTACCACTCGCTGTTCGAATTTGTCAACCCAATGTTTCTTCAAGATCAAAAGAACGAATTCAAAACTCAAGACTTTGTTAGGGTAGGTCCTGTGGACATTTTCAAATACTTTCAAATGTAGTTTTATATTTGTTTAACTATATTTCTGTTCTATTATATTTTTTTAAAACCCCAAAAGATTCTGACAGATATTGTCTTACTCAAGACTTTGCTAGCTAACGTTTGATATGAATGGCATTACCAGGCAATCATTTATGAAATATTCGTCACTTGTCATGCATAATAGTGCGTCTATGCGCTTGCTTGGATGTTTCGGATCAATATAGGGAAGTATAATAATACTAATAATGAGGATCGGGTGGTTACGCTTCATCTTTAGATGTCATCGTGACCCAGGCACGTGGGTCGTTGGGCCTACTATCAACCACTGGTTTGCCTGACTAATTTGATTATTTACAGGCAGTTGTGAAGATTGAAAAAAACCATTCACTAACTCACTTGTTTCTACGACCAAAAACAATCTTCACGTGATGCAGTAGCCTGTTCGAGCAGTGAGGGGTACTGGTTGCGGGTGTACATTGGTTCATTGAGCGAAAGCCATTCATGCGAGAACAGACACACTCTTTTTTTAAAACTCTCCCTATGCTCTGGAGCCTTTTTTCGTTAATACTAACAAAAATGAACATATATACAAAACAATTTTCAGTTCAAGACAATGCCCGAGTTATATGAGCTGGTGAACCTGTACAAGCCTGATGTTATTTGGTCAGATGGGGATTGGATGGCGCCGTCTACCTACTGGAACTCCACAGAGTTCATAGCATGGCTGTATAACGACAGGTAGGCCTCCTCCTATATCTGTCAAACTAAGTGAAGACAAAACATTACAGATTGCCATAACATGACTCTAGAGAACAAGTATGCCAAAAGAATATAGTTAAGTATATCCTGGCACAGAAAAACATGCTGTCATAGCAACACTCGTGACATACTGTAACAGCAACTCTCATGACATACAACCGCATAGCATTCTGAACCCTTTACAATGCTGCATCGCATCCTTAGCTATCATTTTGCCCCTTCATCGTGCTGCATTGCATCCTTCTTAGATAGCAAGCTGTCCCCTTCAAAGTGCTGCATTGCATCCTTCTTAGATAGCATTCTGTCCCCTTCACAGTGCTGCATTGCATCCTCCTTAGAATAGCATTCTGCCCCCTTAACAGTGCTGCATTGCATCCTCCTTAGAATAGCATTCTGCCCCCTTAACAGTGCTGCATTGCATCCTCCTTAGAATAGCATCTGTCCCCTTCACAGTGCTACATTGCATCCTTAGATAGCCTTCTGCCCCCTTTACAGGGCTGCATTGCATCCTCCTTAGAATAGCATTCTGCCCCCTTAACAGTGCTGCATTGCATCCTCCTTAGAATAGCATCTGTCCCCTTCACAGTGCTACATTGCATCCTTAGATAGCCTTCTGCCCCCTTTACAGGGCTGCATTGCATCCTTAGATAGCCTTCTGCCCCCTTTACAGGGCTGCATTGCATCCTTAGATAGCATTGTGCCCACTTCACAGTGCTGCATTGCATCCTTAGATAGCATTCTGTCTACTTCATCGTGCTGCATTGCATCCTTCTTAGATAGCAGTTTGTCCCCTTTACAGTGCTGCATTGTATCCTTAGATAGCATTCTGTCCACTTCATCGTGCTGCATTGCATCCTTAGATAGCATTCTGTCCCTTTCACAGTGCTGCATTGCATCCTCCTTAGAATAGCACCTGTCCCCTTCACAGTGCTACATTGCATCCTTAGATAGCCTTCTGCCCCCTTTACAGGGCTGCATTGCATCCTTAGATAGCATTGTGCCCACTTCACAGTGCTGCATTGCATCCTTAGATAGCATTCTGTCTACTTCATCGTGCTGCATTGCATCCTTCTTAGATAGCAGTTTGCCCCCTTTACAGTGCTGCATTGTATCCTTAGATAGCATTCTGTCCACTTCATCGTGCTGCATTGCATCCTTAGATAGCATTCTGTCCCCTTCACAGTGCTGCATTGCATCCTCCTTAGAATAACATTCTGCCCCCTTAACAGTGCTGCATTGCATCCTCCTTAGAATAGCATCTGTCCCCTTCACAGTCCTACATTGCATCCTTAGATAGCCTTCTGCCCCCTTTACAGGGCTGCATTGCATCCTTAGATAGCATTGTGCCCCCTTAACAGTGCTGCATTGCATCCTTAGATAGCATTCTGTCTACTTCATCGTGCTGCATTGCATCCTTAGATAGCATTCTGTCTACTTCATCGTGCTGCATTGCATCCTTAGATAGCATTCTGTCCCCTTCACAGTGCTGCATTGCATCCTTAGATAGCATTCTGTCCCCTTCACAGTCCTACATTGCATCCTTAGATAGCCTTCTGCCCCCTTTACAGTGCTGCATTGCATCCTTAGATAGCATTCTGTCCCCTTCACAGTGCTGCATTGCATCCTTAGATAGCATTCTGTCCCCTTCACAGTGCTGCATTGCATCCCCCTTAGAATAGCATCTGTCCCCTTCACAGTCCTACATTGCATCCTTAGATAGCCTTCTGCCCCCTTTACAGGGCTGCATTGCATCCTTAGATAGCATTGTGCCCACTTCACAGTGCTGCATTGCATCCTTAGATAGCATTCTGTCTACTTCATCGTGCTGCATTGCATCCTTCTTAGATAGCAGTTTGCCTCCTTTACAGTGCTGCATTGCATCCTTAGATAGCATTCTGTCCCCTTCACAGTGCTGCATTGCATCCTCCTTAGAATAGCATTCTGCCCCCTTAACAGTGCTGCATTGCATCCTCCTTAGAATAGCATTCTGCCCCCTTAACAGTGCTGCATTGCATCCTCCTTAGAATAGCATCTGTCCCCTTCACAGTGCTACATTGCATCCTTAGATAGCATTCTGCCCCCTTAACAGTGCTGCATTGCATCCTCCTTAGAATAGCATTCTGCCCCCTTAACAGTGCTGCATTGCATCCTCCTTAGAATAGCATCTGTCCCCTTCACAGTGCTACATTGCATCCTTAGAATAGCATCTGTCCCCTTCACAGTCCTACATTGCATCCTTAGATAGCATTGTGCCCACTTCACAGTGCTGCATTACATTCTTAGATAGCATTCTGTCTACTTCATCGTGCTGCATTGCATCCTTCTTAGATAGCAGTTTTCCCCCTTTACAGTGCTGCATTGTATCCTTAGATAGCCTTCTGTCCACTTCATCGTGCTGCATTGCATCCTCAGATAGCATTCTGTCCACTTCATCGTGCTGCATTACATCCTTCTTAGATAGCATTTTGCCCCCTTTACAGTGCTGCATTGCATCCTTAGATAGCATTCTGTCTACTTCATCGTGCTGCATTGCATCCTTCTTAGATAGCATTTTGCCTCCTTTACAGTGCTGCATTGTATCCTTAGATAGCATTCTGTCTACTTCATCGTGCTGCATTGCATCCTTCTTAGATAGCATTTTGCCCCCTTTACAGTGCTGCATTGCATCCTTAGATAGCATTTTGTCCGCTTCATCGTGCTGCATTGCATCCTTCTTAGATAGCATTTTGCCCCCTTTACAGTGCTGCATTGCATCCTTAGATAGCATTTTGTCCGCTTCATCGTGCTGCATTGCATCCTTCTTAGATAGCATTTTGCCCACTTCATCGTGCTGCATTGCATCCTCCTTAGATAGCATTCTGCCCACTTCATCGTGTTGCATTGCATTCTCCTTAGATAACATTCTGTCCACTTCATCGTCCTGCATTGCATCCTCAGATAGCATCCTGTCCTCTGCACAGTAATGCATTGCATCATTAGATAATTACGGCCCCGTTACAATGATTAGATTGCATTCTCCCCCACCCACAGTTCTGTTCCTCCCCCTCCCCAGCTTTCTGTCTTTTCTAAATTTTGCATTTAATGTTTGGATATCCTAGTTTCCTTTCACAATGCTTGTACTGAGGTCACTGGACCTTTACGTTTCACAATGTTGGTATGGATCGTTAGCTACCATTCTGTCCGCCTCACAGTGATGTTTGAGTATTCCTGACAGACACTCTCACTTGTTCCAGCCCTGTTAAGGACACTGTGGTGACAAACGACCGCTGGGGGAAAGACGCAACATGCAAACACGGCGGGTTCTACACCTGTCATGACAGGTACAACCCAGGTAGGCGTATCACACTGATTTGGCACTGATTTAGTACTGATTTGAAAGGTGGTTTGGAGGAGTTTGCTATTTTGCCATGCTATTCGTATCTTCAGTTTGCACAATAATGGTTCTCAATTGACAGGAGTGGCACAGAAGCATAAGTTCGAGGATGCCACCACCATCCACGACTACTACTGGGGGTTCATCCGTAACGCCAAGCTGAGTGACTTCTTCACCATAAACCATCTCCTGACAGAGCTCATTACGGTTGTCAGGTACCTTATTTCATTATTATGAGTGGTGAGTTCGTGAGGTGGTTGGTGGGTTGGTGTTTGGGTGAGTGGTTGAATACGTGGTTGAGTACATTGTGTGCGCAGATAGTTGCTCATGATGTCTCGATTATTTAAAGACCGCCATATATATAGAATAGTGTGAGTGAGTATATGAGTGTGGAATCCCCACGAGGATATATGTGAATGAGTGTGGAATCCCCACGAGGATATATGTGAATGAGTGTGGAATCCCCACGAGGATATATGTGAATGAGTGTGGAATCCCTACAGGGATATATGTGAATGAGTGTGGAATCCCCACAGGGATATATGTAAATGAGTGGAATCCCCACAGGGATATATGTGAAAGAGTGTGGAATCCCCACCGGGATATATGTGAATGAGTGGAATCCCCACAGGGATATATGTGAAAGAGTGTGGAATCCCCACCGGGATATATGTGAATGAGTGTGGAATCCCCACAGGGATATATGTGAATAAGTGTGGAATCACCACAGGGATATATGCGTATAAGTATGGAATTCCTACGGTGTGTGTATGACTGTGGACTACTCACGTCTGTATATATGAAGAAGTGGGATGAGTTGGGTGTACCTATGTCTGGAATGGTTTTTCAGCGTATAGCTATGGAGGTTGTAGACGTTTACCAATTGGCCAAACCCACACACATGGTAATAAATACAATAATGTTTAGCGAGCAGCTGAATCTATTAGACCATTGAACTAGTCGTGTCCACTGTGGTTATCACAGTTTCAAAAACCAGTCAAGACTCGTGACACAATATATTACAATCAAATAACCTCTCAACCTCTAATTAAGGCACGGTCGGTGGGATGGCGAGGTGGTGTAGTGGTTAAGTGTTCACACTCCTGGTTCGATCCCCCAAATTGGTACGTACAATGCGTTAAACTCCGTCTTTATTTCCCGTGTGATATTGGTGGAACACTGCAGGGTAAAACCTAACCCACTCATTCACTCGATCAATGAGGGAGGGAGTGTCTTCGGTTTGACATTATTTCACGGCGTGGAACAGGGCAAACAAACGATAATAGATTTAAGGAACGCAACTTTGCACAGCGAATTGTGGCGCCTCATGCGACCGGGCCACCGTCTCTAACCCCGATCCTTCCTGCGCACCACCATCACTACCACTACAACCACCACAACACACACAAGGCAAGAACTGGTGAGATACATACAGTATATAAGGTTATGTTCTGAGACCCAAGTTGATGTTGTTCTTTGACAGCTGCGGTGGCAACTTCCTGCTGAATGCTGGCCCCACCCCTGACGGTATGATCGGTCCGATATATGAGGAGAGGTTGCGGCAGATGGGCCAATGGCTGAAAGTTAATGGCGACGCCATCTATGAGACACGACCCTGGACTACCCAGAATGACACAGCGACACCTGGTGTCTGGTACGTACAATACATAAAAGTTCCCACAAGGACGTACTAACATATAACATTCTAATATATTTTACCAAATATTAATTAAACCCACTTTAATTACAGACTAAATAATCTGAATTGAGAAAGAATTCCATTTAAGTCATTCTCTCCCCAAATCCCTAGTCTTGTTAATTATATACCAAAAGGGATAATACAGCCATATTGTTCAATCGTCATAAGTGGTTTGAAAAATAATCAGTTATTATTATAATCAAGCAAGCAGTGAAACACAACCGTCCGTATGTTCAAACGGAAAATGGTTTTCATCGCAACATGGTTATACTTTCCCTTAGAAAGAAGGGTGTAAATAAAATCGACAAAAACATCCCCATACTCATAAGAAATATCTTCCTAAAGGAAATATGTTACGAGGCTATTAGTGTGAATGCAATTTAAGACCTTGCATGTGTACTGCACTACAAAACGTCACTACATGAAAATAACTAATGAAAGTTTCCCATTACTATCAATGCATTTTCCAATTAATATCAATGCATTTTGTGCCATTTCAATGCATTTTTGGAGGCATCTCGCTTTTTTACATAAGTACACAAGTTCAATGTTGAAACAAATATGGATATAATGGGTCGGCAAAACGACCATGGTACAAAGTCCCGAATGCTTCCAATGATAATCAAAATTCACTCTCGTTTCCTTGTGCCTTTTCTGATAAACGGCACCCCATTACTAGGATCCAACATTCTTGTATTGATACTAGCACCATACCTATGAAGAATCAGAGAAACCAGGCTTTAGGAAGACTGCATGCTGTTGGTGACCTGGTATCGTTGCTGTAATCTGAAGATGGTTCTCATGTGGACATTAAAAGCATTGGCAACCATTTATGCAGCCTGACCAGCATGCAATCGCCCTAAAGCCTGGTTTCTCTGATTCTTCGTAAGTCTTGGCATGGCGCTCTATAGTATCGATACAAGAATGTTGGATCCATGTATTGGGGCTCTGTTTAACAGAAAATGCCCAAAGAATCGCAAGTTCATTTTGATTTTCATGGAAAACATTCAGGACTTTGTAACAGCTTTGTAGCTGCGTTTTGGCGACCAATTACATCCATAAATCGTATCACTTTTTGGCCGTTAAGTTTGGATACAGACTAATGTGAAAAACCCGAGATGCTACCCCAGAAAGCATTGATATTTCAATGGGAATCTTTCATGAATTATTTTCATGAAGTGCAGTTTCTTTTGCAGTTCAGGAAGAATAAAGGTTGCCAGGACACATATTATATAAAAGTGAAACGCTATGAATTCCATACTTCTTTTTCTTTCTTACAAATAAGATGTACTATGACTATTGGTGAATTGGTTATCATACTGAAGATGTACGGAAGAGCGTTGTAAACTGTTTTGGTACGCTTTCTTCTCACGTAGGTACACGTCCAAGAAGTCATCAACCGGTATTTCCGTGTACGCCATCACTCTCAGCTGGCCCGTGGGAAATAAGCTGGAGCTGGCTGTCCCCCAGCCGGGCCCCACCACAACAGTGACGTTGCTAGGATACCCAGGACACATTGGATTCAAAGCTGGCGCCACATCAGGAATGACAATCATGATTCCAGCAATTCCAGCCAACCGTATGCCTTGCCAGTGGGCCTGGGTTTTCAGACTTGATAATCTCAAAAACCAGTAGTATTTTGAAAGTATAGTTTTGTACAGTTCTCGTACAAGGGTTCTTTTCAGCCGACGTCATTGCCTATTGACTCTTACTTGTCGTATTATGTCGATGCTTTCAGATGTCTTATCCCATATACAAAATGGCCACCACGTCAGCCATGTTGAAAATGTATAAAGCATATTTTCTGGTGTCCTCAGCCATGATATTGCTGGAATATTGATAAAAGTGGTATAAAGTCACTCCTTTCGTCTTGCCCATTTATTGCCTGGGACTTTTAGACTATTGAATATAAATGACATTTTTACATCTCTTTAGTCATGGTCATCCTGTGTCATTTTTGTTGATGATTTTTGTACACATGTATTTAAAATTAAACTTTACATAAAAAATATCGTCTTATTGGTAATTATACAGTAAACTACACATATAAAGAACACGCTTGTATCGAACTGACCGATATAACGAAGGTATTTCTTAGTCCCGGCCATTTGTTGTATATATGCTTATAACGAACTGCGGTTAGAGTTCGTTATAACCGTAGTTTACTGTACTCTAGTACTGCTTGCATACTGCTGTCAAGGAAAACCTGAGGAGGCCCCTATAGATCTTGGATTTTGCGCATGCTGCCAACATTAATAACCGCACTACATTCTGAAACTGGCCACGTGTTTGTTTTGGCATAGGCAGAACTTGGATGGGTGCCCTACTGAGCTCTGCGTTCCCCTCCCATGGGAATCCGGAGTAGAATAAGCTCCCAGCATCTCATTCTTTTAAACACCGACTAACGAGGATCGGGTGGTTGCAATGTGCGATCTGGGCAAGGCTGGCCAGTGGTCGCTAGCATATGAATGACCAACGTCCTTGGTGTACGATGACACACAATCACCCATGTCAAACAACTCGATCCTTCTTATAGTCTCCCACAAGCATCGGGTACTGGGGCCTTTCCCATCCTTCGCGGAGTAAGCATCTAGAAACGGCGGGTGACGGATGCTGCTGAGGACCTAAACTGCCGCCAGAAGAAAATATTAAACAAGAAATGATTGGTCGATGATGATGTATTTGATGTGTTTGTTTGTTTCTTGTTTAACGTCGCACTCGGTAATATTCCGCTATATGACGGCAGGCTGTAAATAATCGAGTCTGGACCAGACAATCCAGTTACTGGCATCATGATCATTGAAATACGCAGTTGGGATACAGTGACATGTATCAACCATGTCCATCCTCTTCCGACAAGCAAAGGTTTCTGAAGACCGGTTCTAATCCGGATCTTCATGTGTGTCATAGTAACGTTTTGGACCCGACCTTTGCGGTGTTTCGGCGACTGTTTTCAGCCATGTAACGTTTTCATAATGTTTGTAATATTTTGGGTAATCACATTTTCTTGTGTCCGGCAGTTTAGTCTTTAACCATGTGATGTAACCAAACTTGACATCTTCTGTTTACTGAATATGCTACATATTGTTCCTTAAGAGACATCTGAGATCACAGATGGTTAATCGAGACATCTTGCGTTGATCTCAGATGGTTCAACGAGAGATAAATGAGTAACAATTGGCTTTTAGAAATGGGGTTTAACGTCGCGTCCAAGATTTTTGCACTTATATAGCAACGTGCATGTACGTGTGTATGTGTGGCTGCTGGCACTGGTCCGGACTGATGCCGATTTATATTGCTAGCTAACTGAGATACTATGCCGCAGTTTAACATTAATATCCCACTCAGATACAGTATACTGAGCCGACCCGTCCTTGTGTTAGCCCCTTTATGCCGATCACCAAGTGGCATTTAGAAGTGATACGCACAAGGAAGAGAATTTATGATGAAGGAGTAAGTTGTGTTTCTCATAATACAGAAGTGCCATCCATAAATTATCTTCCTTATGAGTAACAGGTGGTTCATCGAGAGACCTGGCGCTGATCACAGATGGTTCCTTGAGAGACACACGAGTCAGAGTTGGTTCAGAGAGAGAACACCCTATACCCTACCTAAGAGATATAGTTTGCACTCTTGCTAAAAACGAAGACCTCGGTGCCCACATTCCGGTGTCCGGAATAAGCAAGTAAATGGCTATTTATCATTTGCTTCTCTGATTGAAATGATCATTATCGAAACAGCTAAACTATAATTCAGAGGTCACGGTTATCCAATCAAAACCATCTTTCCGAGGCAAGAGCGTTAACTGACTTTAAAAGTCCAGTTTCCACCCTTGCCGAACTAGGCTGGAGTACCTGGGCTCGACCGTAGCGCCACCAGTGGCTATTGCGAGCTATGTCCTTTCTATGCCTCTCCTACTGACCAATCAGATTCAACCTCTCGTATCACTTGCATTTGCTTCAAACAAAACGGTGGCGCCCAGTCAAGACGATCTGATCGATATTGTGATAAAACGATACTTACATCGCGAAGTGCATCAAATCACGTGAGCACCTTGATTAAAAACATGAAAAGATTTAGAAAATATGTGTTGACAACGAGTTAGCGGTGCACATTTTAGTTTTGCAAATGCTGCAGTGGACCGAAATCTGCATGACACTTTACGAACCGGATTTCGATTTCGGTGCGCGATTTTGATTGGACTATGCATAAACTCGTTAGTCCAGCCAAAATGTAACTCCATAATACCAGCCTAGTTCGGCAAGGGTGGAAACTGGACTTTTATAGTCAGTTAACTCACTTGCCTTGGGAAGATGATCAAAACGAATAAAACAAGGTCAACTTTGTACGACACACGTGTGACGTACGGATTTAGTATCTTACCACCTGTATCTTCACCACGTGGGTAATAGTGTATAAGTTACCTAAAAAACATGATGAAATTGAAGAACATTACTTCAACATGTACACGTGAGTGAGTTGGGTTTACGCCGATTTTAACAGTATTCCAGTTATATCACGGCGGGTCAACAAGGAGGGGATAATAATATGCAGAAGCAATAAATAACCAGAAAAAAATAAAAACACCTTGGAATGATATAATAAAAATATTGTTATTGATAAGACCGAGATTGATGCCTCTGTTAGATTCAATGTCATAAGCCTGGTTATGTATACTACTTAAAGGAAGTTAAGGACCACCAAATTCTTTCATATTACTATAGTTTATATGTCAAGGCATCACGGATTAGAGTGAGTGAGTGAGTTTAACACCGCTTTGATAAGTATTCAAGATATATATCACTGAGTGTCAGCTTGATGTGGGTGGAAAGCCCGAAGTGAAAGTAGGTCTCAGACATTGACCACTTTGTCCTGACAAACCTAGATACATAATCGGGGCGAACCGGGATTCGAACCCACAATCTGGTTTCTGACGTGCAAAAGGGACGCAACTCTGCACAGCGAATCGTGATGCCTAGACGACTGGGCCACCCTTGCCCCCTGTATCTCCATGGCATATGGTGATGTTGTGTAAGGTCTTCAGCGATAATGGGCCTTAGGAAAATCTGACCAACATTCACCAGGATACACAAACCAGTGCAACGCACATTGTCTTTTGCAGTGGCTAAAAAATGAAAGGAAACATTACAAAGTGTATTGTTTATCCTGACCACCCATTGTTAAGACAAATATTTTATCAGACCTTCGTACGTAATGATTTTGAATGTATGGAAAGTTAGGAGAAATGTAACGGGAAACAATTTAGTCACCACAAGTTATAAACCTCGATGACGTCATCCAAATTTCCGGTACTGGGTTTTCTTCTTTCAGAGTGAGTGAGTATGGTTTTACGCCGCTTTCAGCAATATTCCAGCAATATCACGGCGGAAGACACACAAAATGGACTTCACACATTGTACCAATTTGGGGAATCGAACCCGGGTCTTCGGCGTGACGAGCGAACGCTTTAACCACTAGACTATCCTCTTCTTTCAGAAAGTACTTGGACTCAATCAAGTTGAAATCGGGAGTGACTTTGAATATACATACAGAGGTTTTACAGTTAAGTAAGATCTAGTTTGTGGTTTTACTTCTTTCAGGTAAGACCTAAGGTATTACTCTGAGTTATAAATAAAACCAGCTTTGTGGTTTTACTTTTGAACTATTTGAAATAATTCGCATTTCACGTTGACTTTTTCCATTTGAAAATTTCATGACGTGAATCTAACCTGTAGCCACATCTGTCATGTTTAGTATTGTAACCGAGTTTTTTTTTCCACCAAGCCACCGGAGCAGGTGATGAAGTAAATGTCCAAATAACACATGGTTTGTGACAGCGCATGTCGTCCGCATGTTGGTGCATGTGCAATTCATATCAATGTAAATACAATTTATCACATTCCTTTTGTTCGGTCGCAAGTAACAAATGTTATATTTGATAACTATCACAATCAATGGAAACAAGTAGTACCAAAATCGCATGGTAGAACAGTCACAGGTGGTAAAAGGCTTCGAACCTATGTAACTTTTAAAAATGAATTTGGTACTGAATTTTATGTAAAATGTAACATGAAAGGGCATTGGCACTTTTCAGATGTGAAGTTGCTTCTCCAAGAAACTACAAGATATGATAGCTGTCCTTCACCAGAGAGAAAATGTTTTTATTGTAAAGATTTTATTAAGGATTAATATTACGTTTTACTGTCCTTTATACACTGATGAAAGTAGTCGCCCTTTTAACGAATGCATGCATCCAAGTTTTATATGGTTTCTTGTCTTTTAAGGATGTAAGTTTATTTTGTCGCGTCCTGAAATGACCTTTTGTCTGTCAAAACTTGCATTAATGTTTTAAAACAACGTAACGTCCAATTGTATACACTTGTCTATATTCACCTAACTGTAACATAAGGATGTAAGTTTATTTTGTCGCGTCCTGAAATGACCTTTTATCTGTCAAAACTTGCATTAATGTTTTAAAACAACGTAACGTCCAACTGTATACACTTATCTATATTCACCTAACTGTAACATAGTTTCAGTATTTGAAGTTCAGTAAATTCTACTTTCATTGCATTTTATGTACAATAGTCTCTCGAATACAAGGCTCAATATTCTAAATGATTTGATCATGTATATTTGCCGTATCATATGTTGAGGTGAGACTTTAATAAACTATAGGCCCGTGTGACTATTAATGAGCTTAGATAAGCCTATTGTAAACAGGGTAGTCCTGCACCATGACCGTGGAATATATTTATTTTATGAAAAAATAATAATCTAGAAATGCATACAAAAGCAAGTCTAGCCAGTTCAAGCTAGCTCTATTCTGAAATCAGCATAGGGATTTTTTTTTTTTTTTCGAGTCAAGAAGGATATTGTGTAATATAAGATTTCAGAGACTAAATGTTAGTCTATAAACAGGGTAGAGGTATCAAATAAACGTATTTGTATAAATAGGTATAAACAAAAGAAGATGTTGACGACCTCGAATTCGATCTTGTGAGACTATTAGGCCCTTATTCTTAGTCGTGAAGTTTTACAAAAGAGGCAGAAAATGAAATTCAATAAACTATTTTATTAGGTGTCACACAAGTATGGCAATACAAATATTCCTAAAAGTTGTACAATGTCAGGCCACGTGACCTGTGAGACACACAACACAGCATATATACAAATATGCATAAAAAACAAGATGCATATAAAGATAAAAATCTAGATTCCCGTAGTTTACGTTAAATTTTACTAGGATACGTTAGAGTTTTAGGGAAAGCTTGTGTTTTCTTCGCTTAAACATTTCGGATAATAATGCGGCTAGGGGTTTAATAAACCTATAGTTCCGCATGAAGATTAGGTCTCATTGACAGGGGACATGTGCAAAAATGTAAAATAAAAATAGGATGCTAATTTCCTAGGTTGTATCTCAGATCTGTTTGTTTGTTGTTGTTTAATGCCGCACTTAGCAATATTCCAGCAATATGACGGCGGTTTGTAAATAATCGAGTCTGGACCTGACAATCCAGTGATTGATATCATGAGCATCGATCCACGCAATTGAGATACGACGACATGCATCAACCAAGTCAGCGAGCCTGATCACCCGATCACGTTCATTGACTCTTACGACAAGCATAGTTGCCTCTTACGACAAGCATGGGTTACAAAAGACCTATTCTAAACTTCAAGTATGAGAAAATAGTACAAACACCAAGAAAATGTATTTTGTCTTCAACAAGGTTACTACAACAAAGTTTACATACTCTTATACGGGGAGTAAATCTACCAAGTTATATATATAATGGCAGAGTGCCACATCGAACCCTGCTCATAATACTATCAAATGGTCGATGAATGAAGATTTCACCACGAACAGATTTCATTTTGGGTTTCACATTCTCTACATGACCTCCATGCTCTGTACAGCTAAACTCCGGACGAACAACCATGAGGTAAACAGCAAACGCACAACATAATCTCCCATGCTGAGGTCAGTGACCCGTGGTTGTTGTCGTCATTCCACCTGGAAGCAGGTCATTTTGGCGGCGATGAGGGTGTTGGGGCTGGGGTTGGTGGTGATGACAACGAAGCCGAACCTCTCCGTAGCGTAGTAGGCCGAGTTGTGGTACTCCTTCTCGTCCTCGTCCTTGATAAGAGTCAGGTATCTGGGAACACACGTCAGTATGTCAACAAGTCTCGCAATTGTCAGAGTTGGTTTACAGATAGGTTTTATTACTAGTAGTTAGTGAGTGAATTGGGATTAACGCCGCTTTGAAGAGTATTCCAGTTATATCACGGCGTGTCAGCTTAATCCAAATACAAGTTTGTTTGTCTGTTGTTTTACGCGGCACTCGGCAATATTCCAGCTATATGACGGCGGTCTGTAAATAATCCGAGTCTGGACCAAACAATCCAGTGATTGACATCGATCCACGCAATTGGGATACGGTGACATGCATCAACCAAGTCAGCGAGCCTGACCACCCGATCCCGTTAGTCGCCTCTTACGACAAGTATAGTCGCCTTTTACGGCAAGCATCGGTTGCTGAAGACCTATTCTACCCCGGATCTTCACGGGTCCCACATACAAGCAGATTTCACGGAAAACTATTATGAGGATGCAAACCCCCTTCTCCCCTGATTCCCCAATACTATCTCATGTTTCACTCTCATCGTTCACCCATTAATCCAGAATAATATTCAACGCAAATCACAAAAGCATTGAGAAAATGATAGGATTTGAAGTTAAAAATATCGAAAAAATAATTTAAAAAAAGAAGATTTAAACGTTGAATCTACGTACCAAATACGATTTTAATTGCGCCCCACTTCCAACACATGTCCCGAATACCCTTTTAATCATTTTAATAATGATTTAATAATGAATAATCAATCATTGTATAGACCCCGGAATCCCGCGTACCAAAGGGGGGTTGGTAGCCTCTATTATGAGACGAGTGATGTTGTATCATGTACCTTTCATCCTCGAGGAGCGTCTTGTTCAGAAGGGAATCAAGCAGGTTTGTCTGAACGTCATTCACCATCTCCACCTCTCTGATGTCATGAGACGCCATATCCAGCACCAGTGGTTTGCCGAACCTGATCACAGACGACTACGCGGTTACCGGTGTCAACATTGATTCAAATAGATTGAAATGTGTAATATATACTCACCGAGCCCTAGCTCTTATATCACACTGATCAATATACCAGCTGTATGACGGCGGCCTCTCACATTCCGTGTCTGGACGAGACAAACCAGTGATTGATATCATGAGTAGCGTACCACGATGTCGGGTTACAGTGATACGCAATCAATCAAGTCACCGAATCTGACCGCCATTCCTTCCACGACAAGCATAGGTTGCTGGAATCCATCCTAATCACACGGATATATATCTATTGTAAACCAAACTCTAATTTAATAATGGACCCTGGTTATTCCAAACCAACCAAGAACTACCTCAATCCCAATATAATGTCTTACCTGATATATACTACTCAAAAGAAGTTTAAGAAAACCCTTTTTTCATATGACTGTAGATAATCTGTCATGGCTCGTGGGTATTGCAACACACAGCCTTCCAATTGTGGGCGTTCCTTAACTTGGTTTGAGTAGTATATATCAATGCACTTATATCTTATCTTACCTTACATTATACTCTTTTCAGACTGACCATGGTCATTTTTCCTCTTGTACGCCTAACCCGCTCACATATATTGCACGGATTCCATATAGCCCGCTTGGAAGTGCCGAACTTCACACCAATGCGAATACAAAGATATGATTATATTATCTCGAAACAGAACAAGTATAATGTGTAGTTTTGGAGCATATCCAAGTGTGACATACAAGGGAGATAACTCTGGTTGTGTTTATGTCGTCTGCTAGATGACAAATGTCGTAGAAGCGGGTCGCTGGCCATGCTGATGAACACATTTAAGATGAACGGCGAAAATTATGCATGTAAGATAAATTCGTTGTCAAACGGTCCGGGGGTATGTGGTGTGATGTTGGAACATACCGACTCGGGGAACACTGGCTCGGAAACAGGGTGCCTCACACCTTATAGCCCTCGAGACTCATCTTCCCGATGCAAGGGAGTTAACTGACTCTAAACATGGACTTCTAGAGTCAGTTAACTCCCTTGCCTCTAGAAGATTCGAGACGGGATACCTTTCTTGCTTCTTGTCACATTCTGAGGTGAGGTGAGGTGAAATGGGGTTTAACGTCGCGTCCAAGATATATAGCGACGTGCATGTACGTGTGTGTGTTTGTGTGGCTGCTTGTACTAGTCCGGACTGATACCGATTTATAGTGCTAGCTCACTGAGATACCATGCCGCAGTTTAACATGAATACCCCACTCAGACACAGTATACTGACTCCGAGCCGACCAGTCCTTGTTTTAGCCCTTAATGCCGAGCGCCAGACAGGGTAACAACAAGTACCATCTTTAAACGTCTTTTGGTATGACGCGGCCGGGGATCGAGCCCCGGACCTTCCGCTCTCCGGGCGGACGCTCTACCACTAGACCACGGAGGCGGTCCTGTCACATTCTGAATACTTACATGTGGGTACTTTCTTCCTATGCGTATTTACCCCAATTAAATTAAAGATAGTGATAATTTACCCTCGATTACTGAGTAATGGCTGGAACACCTACATGTATTAGTGAGTTAGTATGTTGTGTTTAACGCCGCTTTAAACAGCATTTAGTTCTCCGCGCGTTTCTATATTCCTCACCTAAGTGCACCTATCAGTGCTGTTCTGACTTTGTCGGCACTCAGATCTCCTGGAAGCTCAGCCTGCAAGACGTTAGCATCGCGGTACTTGAAGAAGGTGGCCACGTTTCCCTGGAGGTCGATGATCAGGGGCCATCTGCAACACAAGGTTAGCATTCACTATCTCAGACAATCCAGTGATTGGCATCATGAGCATCGATCCACGAAATTGGGATACGATGACATCAATCAACCAAGTCAGCGAGCCTGACCACCTGATCCCCTTAGTCGCCTCTTACGATAAGCATGGGTTGCTGAAGATCTATTCAACCCCGGATCTTCATGAGTCCACTGTCTGGGCAACACACGATGACACAAACCGCGTTTCCATGTACATTGCTTAATGCTGACTATATGAGGTGAGATGGGGTTTAACTTGACGCAGTTTAACATGAATATCCCACTCAAACACAGTATCCTGACTCCAAGCCGTCCTTGTTTTAGCCCCTTAATGCCGAGCGCCAGACAGGGTAACAAAAAATACCATCTTTTAACGTCTTTGGTATGACACGGCCGGGGATCGAGCCCCTGACCTTCCACTCTCCGGGCGGACGTTCTACCACTAGATCACGGAGGCGGTCGCTGACTATATGAAAACACGCCAGTAGATCATTACATAATAACTTGTGAAATTAATGCAAAACCTGCGAGGGTCCCTTGCTCGCATTTATGCAGGTTTGCATATCCGTATCAAACACATCACTATCGAAAAAAACATTTCTTGTTTGATTCATTTTTAGCCAACATCAAACATGGGTGAATACTTTCTCTCGCCCGGCGGTGTATTACATAACCCTCATTACAAAGCTAACAAAAATAATGCTATTTAGTGCTAGACTAAGTGTTTCTCACTGGTGCTGTGTCAAGTATGGTCAATGTTTATATTCACAAGTATATTTTATTATAACTTGATGCTGTCGCACAGTATCTTACTTTTTGGGATCTTTGCTGTTCGCTTCTTCCGTCAGTTTACTGAGCCCCTTGAAACTGATGGTCGTCACCGGCGGCATCGGTGGAGGGGCGGCCGCTGCCTCAGCTGTAGAAAATATGTAAGCATCCTATGTACGACAAAAAATGGCAAGAGTTCCACTAGACTAACATCTAGTCTCAGAAATAAACATATTTTACAGACAGAAAACCGTTATTGAATTATCTTAATAAAATATAATAGAAAGGAGCCCCAGACTCTTTATTTTCAGAAACTACATTAATCTAGACTTGCCCACTTTTGTAGGCTGTATTGGATATACTTGTTTCAGGGTCTGTCTGACAGACTACAGGTCCACCTGGAGAACTAAATTTAGGTAGCACCGATAGTCCATGCAAGACAACAAGGGAAGAACCAGCCATGGAACAAATTTTGTTGGTGTTTCACTCCTAGCCAGCAATATTACAGCTGTATGGCGGCCGATTGCAAATTGCCAGTATTTAATATAATAAGCAACGCCCCACGCTGTCGGAGTACGATGACACTCAGTGTGCGAGGTCGCAGAACCTGTTTATCTGATCTAATTTAGCTTACTTATTACAAACAATAGAGTACATGGGATCTAATCTAGCGAGGGACCCCACGGAGTCAAATACACCCTCAAGGAAATGCGTGAAGCGCTATGAAGGACATGTACACCAGTATGTCAAGACAACAATCACGTTTCTTCTGAACTTATTAATCTAATCTATAGGAGACACTAATCTAACCTTTTTTACTCTCTGCTTTCTTCGCCGGAGTATTGGTGGTGGTTCCTTTGGATTTAACAGGTTTAGACGACGTTTTCGAAGCGGTGACCTTTTTAGGCGGCATGTTTTGCGTTGTGGTAAGACTAATGTGTCAACTAGCTTCAAGTCAAATATCGAGCATGCGGTGGTTACCTAGCTACGCATAAACAGTGGTATCGGATTTAATACACTTCAACGAACACCGAGGTAGAACAGAGGGCTAAGCTCTTGCCCGTAATTAGGTGTACTTATGTTACAAGTAGGGATAATATGTAATATCTGTTTACGTTGTATATTACTGCATTACACATCTGGAATTAATTTTGAGCAAAAAACATATCTATGATAAGATGTCGCTCAACATCCAATATATATACTACATCATAACTATTCAAACTTACCCCATAGGAGTGCTGCTATATGTGACAATATTTTTAATGCTCGTCACCGAACTTATCTTTGCTTCATTCTGGAGGGTTTGTTCATTTGATTTCTTCCACTGTTTGCGAAGAGGCCCATAGGGACGTGACGTCATAAGTACGCATTGAGTGAGTGAGTATGGTTTTACGCCGCTTTTAGCATATTCCAGCAATATCACGGCGGGGGACACCAGAATGGGCTTCACACATTGTACCCATGTCGGGAATCGAACCCGGGTCTTCGGCGTGACGAGTGAACACTTTAACCACTAGTCTACCCGGCCGCCCCAGTACGTATTAAAGAGACCATATGGGTCATATATGTGGCTAAGAGAGGACATCGCTTTAGAGACTGCAATTACGGCCGCGAGACTGCGATAACAAAAGACGAGAAGGCGATGACACGGGACGAGAAAGCGATAGTTTCTCGCTCAACAATATCGCTTTCTCGTCTCGTGCTGTCCCTTTCTCGTCTCGTGCTGTCCCTTTCTCGTCTTGTGCTATCACTTTCTCGTCTCATGTTATTGCTCTCTCGTCTCATTTTATCGCTTTATCGCCATATCGCGTCGACAAAGCGATGTCCCCCTCGGCCACAATAGTAACATGAAGAATACCATACCTGGACCAGACAGACCAAATATATACTATTAGTTTATCTTGAGAGTGTAGAGGAAAATGGGCTTCACTTTAACGGACGATTCGTTCAAAATGCAATTACCTTTGCCTTATGAAGTCGGTATTTGGTAGAGAGAGAGAGAGAGAGACGCCGTGGGGAACATTATTCGGATGTTTGTGTTGTTGAGAGAGACTCGTGGGGTGGTCCGAGCATCATGGGGTGGGGTGGAATTGGTCTTGCACAGAGGGTCGGCCCTGTGGTCTCCCAGAGCAGCTCGGTACATTGACCACACCCCATGCCCACGAGTTTCAGCATGATAACGCCCGTGCCCACACTACGAGAGCATGCAGCAAGAGACTTCCTCCAGCAGAATGGCATCAGAACCATGCAGTGGCCTACCCTCAGTCCCGATCGATCTTAATCCCATTAAGCACCTGTGGGATGAGATTCAAAGACGGCTGAATGACGCTCGACCAAGGCCGACAACTGCAGCTGAACTGCGTCAGGCGTTCCTCAAATTGTGGACTCAAGTGCCTATGGCCTTCATCAACCGTCTCATCAATTCCATGTATCGACGTTGCACGGCAGTCATCAACGCACATGGCGGACACACGAGTTACTGACTTGTGATGCCTTTTCTCAGAGACTAGTGTTGTGTTTCACTTTTAGAACATTTGACACTTTAATTTCAACCTTGATGATCAGTTTTGCCAAGTTTCATCTTGTTAATATGTCTCAAAGTAAGTTTACAATTTTTAGACAAATAAGGTTTCTCATATATCTATCCATGGTGACGTTTCTTTTGCGGTTCAGTATAGTTTCTTGTGTTTTACTCGCAATAACTTCATTATGAGCACACTTGTGGTGTGTGATTGCTCTTTAATGTCACGTTTGTATATTGCATCAATAACATGTAGGTATGATCGTCGATAATGAAGTAATTAGGCAATAAGAACGTTGGCCGGACTTTCAGGCAGGCCCATCGGACACAGTTCGGTTTAGCGCATGTCTGATTCTGGGTGTGATGTAGCATTAGGAAAAGGTTTGTACAGGCAGACCAAGGGATGTAGTCTGAATGGATCTGGGGTTTGAAGCACTGACCGGCGATAAATGGCACTGGGCAACATTTACATCACGTACCACTGGACAATACTAAGATTAAAGACACATTACACAGATGATTCCAAAACATGTACCACTTCCAGTCAAATTCCTGCATTCTTTCGCGTGATTGAGGCGACGCGCATACATGTGTGCGAGTGTGTGTGTGTGCGCGTTCGCGTGTTAGTCCGAACTAATTCCGGTTTTTTAGTGCTTGCCCACTGTGACGCTATGCATGAATACCCCACTTTACCCACACAGTATACGGAGCCCGACCCAACCAGTCCTTGCTTTATCCCCTTAATGCCGAGAGCGCGACAGGAAAACAGGTACCATATTTTAACGTCTTCGGATATGACGCGGTCGGTCCAGCTCTCCAAGCAGACGCTCTATCGAACAGTATCACTTCAGTCACGTCTCCATGCTTCAGTGTAATGTGAGAGAAAGCCCACATAGATACAGGTAGGGGATATTTACTACTCCCATGCTGACAACAGGTCCTAACCAAGACGAATATAGGATTCGAACCCCTGACCTACTGATCTGGCTTGGCTAAGGGACGTTACTGTACACTTCTTATTTCCTTTCTGGGATTCACAGTTAGAATAGTTCTCCAACTAATCCCTGTCGTTAATAGATGAAGTCGGGCTGATTGGGTTAATGTATTGCGTGTGAGAAGTTGATCACTGGTTTGTCTGGTCCAGACTCAATTATTTACAGGCCATCATATAAATCTAACATTGCCTAGTTCAACGTTAAAAAGCAAACAAATCGACACGTTTCCCTGGGAGACTGAACATAAAATGAAGTGTAATTAATCCTTGCATGGTAATTAATAATGCATGGTAATAGGAACAAAGGCCATACAAGCTTTTTCAAATTTATTTGTTGAAAAATCAAAAGAAAAATACAACAATGTCCACACATGGAGCAACACACAATAAACAGCACTCTTCCATCATACACATACGTGTGTATGTGTGGCTGCTGGCACTGGTCCGGACTGATGCCGATTTATATTGCTAGCTAACTGAGATACTATGCCGCAGTTTAACATTAATATCCCACTCAGATACAGTATACTGAGCCGACCCGTCCTTGTGTTAGCCCCTTTATGCCGATCACCAAGTGGCATTTAGAAGTGATACGCACAAGGAAGAGAATTTATGATGAAGGAGTAAGTTGTGTTTCTCATAATACAGAAGTGCCATCCATAAATTATCTTCCTTATGAGTAACAGGTGGTTCATCGAGAGACACACGAGTCAGAGTTGGTTCAGAGAGAGAACACCCTATACCCTACCTAAGAGATATAGTTTGCACTCTTGCTAAAAACGAAGACCTCGGTGCCCACATTCCGGTGTCCGGAATAAGCAAGTAAATGGCTATTTATCATTTGCTTCTCTGATTGAAATGATCATTATCGAAACAGCTAAACTATAATTCAGAGGTCACGGTTATCCAATCAAAACCATCTTTCCGAGGCAAGAGCGTTAACTGACTTTAAAAGTCCAGTTTCCACCCTTGCCGAACTAGGCTGGAGTACCTGGGCTCGACCGTAGCGCCACCAGTGGCTATTGCGAGTTATGTCCTTTCTATGCCTCTCCTACTGACCAATCAGATTCAACCTCTCGTATCACTTGCATTTGCTTCAAACAAAACGGTGGCGCCCAGTCAAGACGATCTGATCGATATTGTGATAAAACGAGACTTACATCGCGAAGTGCATCAAATCACGTGAGCACCTTGATTAAAAACATGAAAAGATTTAGAAAATATGTGTTGACAACGAGTTAGCGGTGCACATTTTAGTTTTGCAAATGCTGCAGTCGACCGAAATCTGCATGACACTTTACGAACCGGATTTCGATTTCGGTGCGCGATTTTGATTGGACTATGCATAAACTCGTTAGTCCAGCCAAAATGTAACTCCATAATACCAGCCTAGTTCGGCAAGGGTGGAAACTGGACTTTTATAGTCAGTTAACTCACTTGCCTTGGGAAGATGATCAAAACGAATAAAACAAGGTCAACTTTGTACGACACACGTGTGACGTACGGATTTAGTATCTTACCACCTGTATCTTCACCACGTGGGTAATAATGTATAAGTTACCTAAAAAACATGATGAAATTGAAGAACATTACTTCAACATGTACACGTGAGTGAGTTGGGTTTACGCCGATTTTAACAGTATTCCAGTTATATCACGGCGGGTCAACAAGGAGGGGATAATAATATGCAGAAGCAACAAATGATCAGAAAAAAATAAAAACAACTTGGAATGATATAAAAAAAATATTGTTATTGATAAGACCGAGATTGATGCCTCTGTTAGATTCAATGTCATAAGCCTGGTTATGTATACTACTTAAAGGAAGTTAAGGAACACCAAATTCTTTCATATTACTATAGTTTATATGTCAAGGCATCACGGATTAGAGTGAGTGAGTGAGTTTAACACCGCTTTGATAAGTATTCAAGATATATATCACTGAGTGTCAGCTTGATGTGGGTGGAAAGCCCGAAGTGAAGTAGGTCTCAGACATTGACCACTTTGTCCTGACAAACCTAGATACATAATCGGGGCGAACCGGGATTCGAACCCACAATCTGGTTTCTGACGTGCAAAAGGGACGCAACTCTGCACAGCGAATCGTGATGCCTAGACGACTGGGCCACCCGTGCCCCCTGTATCTCCATGACATATGGTGATGTTGTGTAAGGTCTTCAGCGATAATGGGCCTTAGGAAAATCTGACCAACATTCACCAGGATACACAAACCAGTGCAACGCACATTGTCTTTTGCAGTGGCTAAAAAATGAAAGGAAACATTACAAAGTGTATTGTTTATCCTGACCACCCATTGTTAAGACAAATATTTTATCAGACCTTCGTACGTAATGATTTTGAATGTATGGAAAGTTAGGAGAAATGTAACGGGAAACAATTTAGTCACCACAAGTTATAAACCTCGATGACGTCATCCAAATTTCCGGTACT